GAAAAAAAAAAAAAGGCTTTTTTTGGGCACATACAAAGGCTAAAAAAATTCAACACTAGCACTGCAAAGAAATGTTAAAGGAAGTCCTTCAGAAAAAAAAAAAAAAAAACAAAAAAACAGGCTCATTTTTGGGACTTCAGCAAATTCTGCCAGTGTTTACCTTTTTAGGACAGGTACATATTAAATTGCACATTTAATACTAATCAATGGCAATTTATTGTACATTTCCCAAAATAAGTTGTTATGAGGAACACTGGTTCCTTTGCACTACCTGAAGAAAATAATTATGTGACCAAATAAGTTTTGGAAACACTGGTTAAAAAATGTCAACAGCTCTGCTCACTGTAGGACTTCTCATAACCTTTTATGTGAATAGTGTTACGTATATCTAAAAGAGAGAAATAGAATGTAGCAGATTCCAGGCTTCTTTGACTATAGGACCCTATTATCCTCTCACCCCAAAGTCTGAGTGTTCAAAGGAACATGTTTTTGGAAACACAAGTCTGTTTTCAAAACAGAATATTACTTTATATTTGAGTAGTAAGAGTTGGTAGTATAGAAACCCTTTGTGCTTTTTAGTGAAATTGTATCAGAAATCCCATTATCAAACATTATATACCTTAGAAATCTTGCATAGTAGTAACTGTGGTAGCAATTGGGTTTTATTTAAAGAAAAATATTCTTTTGCCTATGTTGGCAAGGGGTGAAAACATCCAACTTTTCTGTTCTTATCCATTTATATCCTAGGGTAATAACCAAAAGAATTACAGTGTAATTTTCTGATAATAGTGTGATTCTGAATGAATTGTTCAAATAGTTGAACTTGGAAATTTGCCTACATTTGTATACCTTTTTACCCTCATTGCAATCTATAGCTCCTTCTGTTTACTTTTCAACTTTTTTCTCATGTTACTATGCAATTTCCTCAAATTGTATATAGCACATTAAAGAGGGTTGTATATGTGTGTGTGTGTGTGTGTGTATTTACTTACACAAATGCACATACCTGGTTTTACTTCTCATTTTTGTTTGGGTTAATTTCTTTTGTTTAACAGGATATTAACAATCACACTATTTGGAAAAGATGAACAAAAGAAAATGAGTCTTATAAAATAACAATCTTTTTTCCTGGATTCACTTTAGCATCAAAAATTGTAAGGAGTCATTTTTTAAAAGTTGGAATATAATATTTTTCTGTCCAGTAGTGTGCTTATCATTCTTATATGTTATGTTATTATGATTATTTTTGTTAACAACTACCATTTATTAAGAATTTACTACATCAGACGTTGTTGAGGAGCTTTACGTGCATAATCTTTGTAACAACTCTTAAGTACTAATATCTACATTTTCAGAGTTAAGAAACTGAGAATTAGGTATTTTCAATAATTTGTCCACTCACACATCTGTTACATGATAGATCCAGGATTCAAACCCAGAGCATGTGTCTACAAAGTCCATCCCCTAACCAATACATTTAAGATGAGACAAAATTTTCTGATAATTTATGTTTTGCAGCTTTGTCATGAAAATAATGAACTTGAAAGCAAGTTACTATAAATTTTATAAATCATAGATCAGTAATCTTTCAAAAATTCTAGTTAGGTGTTAAGACTGAAATTTTGCAAAGCTATTTAAAATTCCAGAAAATCCATAGATAGTATTATGGCGAGTATATAACTCAGAGTTGTATAGACCACACAGAAGAAAATTGACTTGAATTAATATTGTATTAAAGGATAAAGCTTATTACAAAACAATACTACTGTAGATAGGAAATTGTATTCTTTGGCTACATGGACTAAACTTGAAGAATACAATTTTTTTGAACATAAAAATTGGTGATTCTTAGAATCTGGTCATCCCACCTTAAAACCCGTAACTCACAAAATGAATAAATAGAGTTAAATGAACTTAGGGGATAGGGTCATAAAGGAGAGAGAAAACAAAACAAAAAATAAACAGTTACAATAAAGACATTCTAGGTATAGGCATCTTTTTAAAAATTAGGATATCTGATTAATCTGTGATTAGATAGACTATTGTTTAATTTTCAGAATGTTCCTCAATTACATCTTTTTTTTATTGTGCAGAAATATATGTAACATAAGATTTACCATTTTAACCGTGTTTAAATGTATAGTTCTGTGGCCTTAAGCACATTCACATTATTGTACCGTCATCACCACCATCCATCTCCAGAACTTTTTTCATCTTCCCCAACTGAAACTCCTTATCCATTAAACACTAACTCCACATTCTTCCTCCTCCAAGCCCTGGCAAACACCATTCTACTTTGTGTTGCTGTGAATTTGACTACTCTAGGTACCTCATATCAGTGGAATCATATGATAGTTGTCATTTTGTGACTGGCTTATTTCACTTAGCACAGTGTCTTCAAGGTTCATCCATGTGGTAGCATGTGTAAATTTACTTTCTTTTTAAAGCTGAATATTCCGTCTTATGTATGCAATACATTTTGTTTATCCTTTCAACCATTGGTGGACGTTTGAGTGGGTGGCTTCTACCTATTGGCTGTTGTGAATAATGCTGCAATGAACATGGATACAAAATATCCGTTTGAGCACCCTTTTTCCTTTTAAAAGTTAACCAGTTTATAGAAGACAATGATCTAGCTTGTGTGTAGTCCCTTAAATCTAAAATCTTTCTTAAAAATATGACCAGGTATTTTAAAAAATGAAATGCCTATCCTGAATTAGGTTTTTATTTGTAAATAAAATTATAAACTTTTAATTCTAATAAAATTTAATTTTAATTTTAATAAAATTATTAAAACTTTTAAAATTAAAGCACTTGTCATAGTCAAGTTGCATGTTCAAATATGATCAGGTATTTTTTCAAATGAAATGCCTATTCCGAATTGAGTATTTATATAAACAGTCTTTTTAATGTAAAGTACTTGTCATAGTCAAGTTCTATGTTGTCCTAATTGAAATTTTGATTTTAAATTGAAATAAAATATTATGAATAGGCTGCAGATTTCTTCTCAATTGTAAAAATACTTATTTTCTCTGTAGATAATGAAAACTTTGTGAGAAGTACATGAAACTATTATAAATAGACTATTCTTTCCCTGACCTTGAAGGATCTGGATAAAAGCAATAAAGATTATAGAAAATACGAAGCAGGATGGACAGCTGAGAATTATTGATAAAAGTCTATCCTTAGAATTTGGTGATAAAGTCCACAAATTACCCTATTTATCATTGCTCAAGACTTCAAAGAAGAAATATTCTTTGAGCTGAAGGAGATTATTTCCAGTATTGTGTTTATGGCTTTTACATATTAGAAAGAAGAGGCAGATTTATTTCCCCAATTTTAGTACTTAGGATACATACTTTTATAGAGAGGAGAATTACAACTAATATAGATGAATATAAACATCTCTGTCAAAAAAGATTCTTTAACATTTTGGCTAATAAATTTTCCAGCAAGATGCAGATCTGTTTCGTCATGTAAATTCAAGTTGGCAGTAATTTTTCTAGAACAC